TTAAGTGGAAAAGACAAGTCCAAAAACGCTTATAATAGCTGGATCTGGCAACACGGAGGCTGCGCCCGCGCCCTCACTCACAGCTCTCTCAAGAAGACTCGTTCACTCCGGCAGCGTCTCGCAGCGAACATTGTCATACCACAGACACTAAACATTTTTGCAAACTGTCTAAACTGAATTATACATGTCATGCAGACATTCAAATGAGGAGTTTAACAGCAAATTAGTCATTCAGAGAACAAATTTTATTTCTGAACATGAAATATTTACAGAGGTCCGGACCTCATAGCTGGCTACGGGCCTGACGGCTGTGATTGATTGTATTGCATTAATAGAAAGCCAAATAATATAACACGACAGCGCGATTTCTCCCCTGCTCCTTCGGAGGTCTGTGCACGCCACTGTGCCCTCAGGGGCGTACATTTCGTCTAACAGTAGGGGGGGGGGACAATAAACATAAAATTTCTCAAGAGCAATTTTTGAAGGGGCCACAAATAATACAGCTAAAATTGTACTTGTAAGGATATGTATACACAGAGGAATGGCTTACTATTATTAGTGCAGCAGGGAGACCATGCCAAATTAGACAACTTAAAGCTGTTGTGGTCGCGCAGCGACAACGCTCATGTAGCCTACTATCCGTCACAGTGTTGCCAGGTCCGTGGTTTTCCCGTGGAATTGAGCTACTTTATCACGGTTGCCGCAGGTTGAAGCAACCCCAATAACATGTATTTTATCCCCCGGAATGCCATTTTTACCGGGGGACCCCTTCGAAACGCGGATAGTTTGGGCTAGTTTTGAGTAGCAATTGGGCGGGTTTTGTTATGAAAACCTGGCAACCCTTTCCGTCAAGCAAGTAACATTATTATTGGTAACATTGATTCTGATTTGTCAATCACTGCATCCAGAGGTCAAATATAGCCTATTTACATGTAGCCGGCCAAACTGTATTTCAATATTGTTCCTGACAACTATTATACTGTGCTAGTTTAAAACATCTAAAATAAAAACATCTGCTAAATGAATAAAAGTTAATCTCATTATTATTTATTTATTTGGCTACTATGTGTGCAATAAACAGGATAATGTACAGAATAACGTGATAACTAGATGATTGGTCTTGTTTTCTACACTACTTATTTCTGCCCTGCACACAGAAAATAAAGTTGCAATGGTTTGCTAAATAATATTATTCCTGAGATCACAAGAGGAATGACTTAATGAAATTCATGCTTTGAATCCACTGTTTGTTTATGCATGCCCTTGTTTGTTTATACTGTATGATTTGTGTGTGTGTGTGTGTGTGTGCGTTTGACACACTGACATTTATTGTGAGGATATTTACTGTCAAGTGTGTATGTTTTCATCCGTACAATGAAATATTTCCTTCCATAAAGCAGTTTAAAGGCTTTTTATGCTTGTTGTCATTTCTGTCACTTTGTTGTAAAAACTGACAAGGACAGTTAAGTTTGGAGGTTCTGAAGTCACAAAATAACAAGGGCGTTCCCATCAATATTAATGGGTTTAAGCACATGTTTGTCTGCTTTGATCGTGTGCTGCTTTTCTCTGTTTTGTTCTCTACATTAACTTGAAGCTACTGATTTGTTGGCTTAGTGTTGGGTTTGCAGGTTTGGCTACAACTGTAAAGGGGTCCTATTCTGCCTTAATACCATTTTTTAATAAACTAAATATGTCCCTGTACAACAGTGGATGCATATCAGGTGGGGCTTTCAAGCTTTTACTGTAGCCTCTACAGTTTTCAGAATGTTATTTACATCTGGTGTGGAGGCTCTTTGGGGATATTATGAATGATACTGAATGATTCCGATCAGTCATTGGCTGTTAATTTGCCAGGGGTAGTTTGATTGGTTGTTTGAGTCTTCAGGTAGCTTAGACTGTTGTTGCCTAAACAACACCACACAACACACTCCTCCCCCTTTTAGAAAAGGACTATTCTCCTCCATTATCTTATTATCCATTCCACTTCTCAAATTGAATGAGGATCCAACTGTTAAAACAATGCGGGTAAATCCCTTTCTTCTGGTGTTGCTTGGCATCTTACTAAGTGGGTATGTAATTCCTTTTTGAAATATGTAGGTTTTTTTCTTGTCTGTGGTGACTGGGACTGAAATAATGGCCCAGTTGAGAGGTAATTTTGTGTCCCTGTGTGTGTGAAAATTGACTATTTTTGTGATCTACATTTTTGTCCGGTCATCTCCTGAATTATCCTGTAAAACATCTCTCTCTCTCCCTCACATTTAACTGTGCATTAAAAATAAACGCAGATCATATGGTGTCAAGATGAGCTCATGCACATCAGAAATGAGATGTCTGGCATACTGAAACATTATACTGAAGGTTTTGTTGTGAAGAAAAAAACTTGTTTCAGTATGGCCCTGATCCTATTGCAACAGGCGCCAAACAGTTTCTCTTATTTACAGAGGTCTTGTAATCACTTGGAAGTGAAAGAGAGAATGTCGAATGTAAAGTGAAACTTCTTACATTACTAACATGACAGATATATCCGTCTTACCATTTTCATATTTAATCACTTTGGGCTTGTCCATTAGTTGACTGAATACACCCCACAGGTTAGACGCCATATTGAATTATAGGCCGATGAAAACGATCCATAGCTATAGTTTTTGCAATGACATGTACTGTGTAAAGATCCTATACATCATGTCATTTTCACAACTCACAACTTTCAAAACTGTTTCATCAGCTTCATTCAGTATGTTGTTTAACAATACTACAATATACCAAATAGCCTCATTTTCATTCCTGTCAGAAATTATATATGACGCTACACGACTAATAAGCAGTTAATTAAAATTCATACGAAAATGAATTCATAGGAATAGATTTAACCCATAGAAGCTTTTCTAAACGTTTGTGTTTGCTACAGTATTTGGGTGTGTAAGATCACTGTAACACTTCAAACTACTGCAACAGGATTTGCATTTGTCTGTGCATTAAATTAAAAAAGTAAATTCACTCAGAAAAAAATGTGATCAGCTTCACTTTATCATTCATGTTCTGTTATTGTGTTTCCTCACAGACTCATTTTTTTGGGCTACAACTCTATCTCATTCGGGTAAGTTTTTTTTTTTCTTTTTCAAATGTAACTACACCCATCAAAACAGCCTTTAGTAAATATCTATAAAACATAACCAGTTAATAATAGCTTATTACTGTTCCTGGAAATAAATGGGATACTCCTGTCTTGGATTAATAAGTAATGTAATTACTGTGCAGACAAATTATTTGAATAATTTCGCACAGTTCATAACATGAGAATAAAAGACACCATCTATGACTGAAACTGTAATTGGATCGGTAACCATGTTAGCATGTTTGATTTGTTTGTTCTGTTCGAGTACATTCAGAGTCAAAGTTATACATACAGCCTTTTTAAACTTTAAGCTCACTTTCACCAATACTTTGTATAGGCAGCATGCATGCTTTAAAGAGATCATCAAATAAAAAAAAGATTACCAAATAAGGGATGCAGTGTTTCTGCATTGTAACTTTATCTCTGTTTCAGATATAAAGAGATAAGATTATGCCTCAAGTAAGTACTGTCGCTGCTCATGCACTCACTCAAAACATACACCCATACACATACTGTAACATTATAACATACTGTAAATCATTCACAGAAGCACACATACACATTTATGTATATACTGTTCACTCAAACAGTAGAGTGAGAGTTCAAACTATTGAAAAATATTTTAAGAATGCTTTGTCTGGTACAGGATGCTCTTGAGTGCTGTCTTAAACATGAATGGAGATAGTAAATAGCTATAGTACTGGAAATTGGTAACCTGCTTTCCTGATTGTAGAACACAAAAAATATATAGATTTATTTCTGTGTAAAGGTTTGAAAATTTTTTTAATAAAAGAGAATCATATTTTCCCATCTTAATAGCAAATTGACTTGTGGGGATTTAAAGAGTTAGAAATATATTGAGTTGTATTTAACCCAGAAAATTACTTTTACATTACACATACTTAAACAGCCGGTAAAGCTTCTTTGTTTTAATTATAATAAATGTAATCAAATGAATGTAGTACTGTATATACTCCGTAAACATACAAATACACTCACACACTTGCACATGTCTATAAATGATTTGGACCATAGAGGTTTACCATTGCCCACAGTTAATAAGGTAGATTACATGTTAGTTGTTATGTGTTAGTAGCTCCGTCACACATACATGTTCTTTTTGTCTTGCAACTGCACACATTTTTTGTAATTGCTAATGGTGCTTTACTGTGAAGTAAGAGTTCTGTGGATAAATAAACATGTTAATAGAAACATGCAAACCAACAAACACAACAAAAGTTTTAATATTAGAGAACACAGTTATTCTCTGATTCTTTACCCCATTTCTTAGCCTAACAAAAGCGCACCAGGAAAACTCGAACTTGCAATCACAACAAGGGTGAGTGCAAACATATTCTTCGACAGTTTTGCTTAATTTATTGTGATGTGTTTGTGGAGTTGTCATGCAGTAAGCCACAGCTCGTCTTTATGGTGCCCCACCATATATTCGTTCACTAGAAAGACCTCAATATAAACTGAATGCTTCAGCTATGTGCGTTAGTCTATATCAGGTTAGTAACTAGTTGGCGTGTCTGTTCATCCTTAACAAGCTATATGAGGAGTAGCTTATTAAATAAAGTATAATTCTATGTGTGTGTCATGTGTAGCCTGTCAATCAACATTAGAGTACCACCCTCAGGCTCAATTAGGCAAGGACACTAGCCTTCTGCTATGTGTGTCTGCATGTGTTCAGCGATTAGAATATAACGTTTACAAACTGTTTATCCCAAATAAGTGCTTAGACCCAGAATCTGCTCTATACTTCTGCAGCAAGTGCATACAGTGAAGAGGAAAAAGGATTTTATTCAGAAACAAAAAATAGGGTGGGACAGGTTTAGTGATGTATCTTGAAATGACTTTTCAAGGAATGTTAAGCCCTATGAAGAGTGCAAAAGTTGGGTTCCAGAAGTAAAAATCCCATTCAGTTTCTTCATATGGGAAAGGATTTATAACAATAAACCATTAAAGACAGACCTACTCTGAGATACAAGGTTGTTAACCAAAGAACTCCTAAGTGCCTCTTCACTTCTGTGAAGCACTGTGAATGTAATAGTAATAATTATAGTCATTATGATAATAAGAACCTCTTTCTCTCGTCATAATAATGATAATCTCTCTACACTCTCAAATTACTTAAACATTTGTATGTCCATATTTTGTATTAAACGTACATCTATTGTTTCTATCTCTCTCTCTCTCTCTCTCTCTCTATATATATATATATATGTAATTAGCATCTTTAAATATTTTGTATATTTCTTCAGGGTTTTTAATTTGTCATTCACAACATTTCTTTGAATTGTAGTAGTTCCTACCCTTGTTAACGTCATTATACGCAGTTGTGTACCTTTTGTCTTCTCGTCAGATTTTCCAGAGCTTTTGTAAGTTTGTAATGTTGTGATTCAAATTGTTGCTGGTTGGTTTGGTTCATGACTTATAACTCTTTATAATGAATGGGAAAAATTTATCCGAAACCAAGGCTTCTAAAAGAAGGGGAAGAGCACTATATAAATATATAAAAGAAAGGCAAATCCTATCATGGTAGTATGCTATTTTAAATGAGTTACTACAGAGGACCAAAGTATGTGGCAAGGTGTGTATGGAATGAGTAACTCTGAGGTATTGAATGATAAGACAAGAAAGAGCTTTAAAAGTTGTCAATGGATTTGCTGATTGAAAGCAGATGTTGACAGGTAACCAGTGAAACTAGTGGGTGTGATGTGCTGCAGACATTTAACTTAAAGTCAGTTAAGACCTTGTGATGCCAAGATCCATGTTCAGCCCACAGTAAGACACACCATCCACAGACGTTTGAAAAGTAGGCAGGAGGAAAGAACGGTTTAGAATAATGACAAATTGCAAACTTTGACTTTAGGAGATGAATGCAATTAAATCCAACTGTTTATTTTACACTGTTATTATTTTATTGTACAGGCTTTCATACAATCAGCCCAGTGTAGTTGGGTAAGAACATACACATATTTAACCTTTTTACATTATTTATTAATGATGTTTTAATACTACTTTGCATTTCATGCACATGTTTATTTGCTCATTTAAAACAGCCTCGATGGCAAAGTTATTGCCTTGACACCATGGTTAGCACCAATTGTATGGGAAGGAACTTTTGATTCATTCCTGATCGATTCAATCTACAAACAACAAAACATCACCATTGCAACTACAGTCTTCGCTCTTGGAAAGTGAGTTTTTTTCCATCTCTTCCTCTGATCTTCATCGGCTTTGAAATGAATTGTAAGAGTCAGACAATTAACAAACATGACTGACATAGCACACATTTTCTGTTTGTTTTACTGTTGTTGTTTTTCTGTGACGTATAGTGAGAGGAAAATGTGTCTAGTTTTATCTGGCCATCTCCATGGTTTTACCAGTTTCTCCACTAAGCCTGCATGCCAACCTGTTTATCTAGTATAGTGACAGATTCTGCTCCTGGAGTTTAGCTCCAGCTTGACACACCTAAACCAGCTAATCAAGATCATCAGGCTCACTAGAAACACAGGGTGTGTTCCGCTTTGCTTATAGACAGACACTCATGAACAGTGCATAAAAAATTAATACAAAAAAAAAGAAAATGAAAAATAAATCAGCACCATAGCGGATTCATAGCGTGATCAAGGGCTCAGGGTGATCCATTAAAACTCATTATACAGGCTTCACCAGCAGTGGGCACTCGGCAGTGAAGTACATCCAAGTCCACAAGGCAGAGAGTTAGCAAGGCAAATGCTTAAAATTTTAATTTAGAACACAGTCTTAGTGTTCTGTGAGTTTCTTAGTTTTGTTAGTCGGACTTCTAATTTGCGTATGCTCTGTTTCCTGTTGTTCCCTCGTCGGAGTGCTGTTTCCTGCCCTCTAAAAAATGCTGGGTTAAATATGGACAAACCCAGCGATTGGGTTGTTTTGACCCAGAAGGTTGGGTTAACCATTTAACCCAACTGTTGGTTGAAAACAACCCAGTCGCTGGGTTTGTCTATATTTAACCCAGCATTTTTTAGAGTGTGTGTTTTTTTCTTTTTTCTGGATCTTGTGTTCTTTTGACAGTATTGTTAATAAATAAATGCTTAGCTGCAATACGATCCTAGGCTGGGGGGGTTTCCAGAAAGCAGGGTATGTTGCATAATAACCTCAACGCCTGACGTAACTTTCAAGGTAAGTAGCCATAGCAACTTACTCTCTGAACATACCCACTTTAAATATTTAGCATAAAAAAAACAATAATTATTGTTCACAATAATAAAAACGTTTTAAAGATTAAAAAAAAAGATTGGTCAACCCGATACCCAGTACGCCTGATACCTATGATGATAAGCATTAAAAAAGTGGTGATGTTTTGGGAACTGAGGACCATGAGCAAGACTTGATCATAACTAATGATAAGTTAACCGTGATTTCTTGAATATCCTGCTTTTCCTCATGTCTGAGCTAATCCCGACATTACAAAAAAAAAAAGAAAAGTGGCCCTTCAGGAGCAGAATTGGACACCGCTGATCTAATGTTTTGTATGGTCTCAAATGTACAGCATATCGAAGTTTGCCTTACAACCTCCTTATGGTGAATACATTGCCAAAAGGGGTAAAAAAAACTAAAGGTTTTTCCGTTTAATTCATTACTTTACATTTCAGCCTCTCTTTCCCTCCCCCCAGATACACGCAGTTTCTTAAAGATTTCCTGGAGTCCGCAGAGCAGAATTACTTTGTTGGATTTCGTGTGCATTATTACCTGTTCACCGATCATCCAGAACAGGTTCCTGCAGTGAAACTGGGCGAAGGTCGTCAACTGACGGTGTTGACAGTGGCTAGTTCTAACAGATGGCAGGAGATCACTTTGCGCAGGATGGAAAAGCTGGAGAAACTGATCGAAAGCCGATTGGTCAATGAAGCCGACTATGTTTTCAGTCTTGATGTGGACACAAAGTTCTATGGGCGATGGGGGGCAGAGTCTTTGGGTCGTCTTATAGGTGTGATACATCCTGGTTACTATCAAACTCACCGTGAACAGTTCCCATATGAGCGCAGGCCCGAGTCTCAAGCATACATTCCTGTTGCTGAGGGTGATTATTATTATGGAGGAGCTGTGATCGGTGGCTTAGTGAAAGATGTACATGAGGTTGCTAAAACCTGCCGGGAGCAGCTGGACATTGATGCAGCTAAATCCATTGAGGCGGCATGGCAGGAGGAGTCTCATTTGAACAAGTACTTCCTGTATAACAAACCCAGCAAGGTGCTCTCACCAGAATACCTGTGGCAGGACTTCAAACCTCACACAAACGAAGTCAAAATCATTCGCTTTTCTCAAGTTATTAAAAACTATGCCGCAGTTCGTCCAAACCCATAAAAGCTGTTAACTGAAACATACATATTTATGCACTTTATATGTCATTAGTATGAAAACACCTGCCAGGCATGCATGTAAATGTAACAGATGTCCGTGATTGACTAACAAAACCTGTGGCCAAATATTTTTTCCTCAGGTATACATCAACATTTGTACTGCTGCTCTCACAGGTTATGTGGATTAAATGTATAACATTGCAGGAAAACAGTTTTACAATTAAATGGAATCAATGAGAGATAAAACAGTCTATCATTATTGTCATACTTCAACAGCATGAATGGATTATCAGATTTATCCCCCCCCACCACCACCACACTGCCATAAAGAGTAGCCTATACTGATCCCAAATTCTGGTTCATACTCACTTATCAGCACTTTTGCAAAGACGAAAGAGAAGGCAAAGAAAAGGTGCTTTGTGCATCAAAAACCAACAATTCTGAAAGATTTGAATGATGTTTTCCATTTAGTCAAAATAAACATGATCTAACATTGGAAGTAAAGTAGCACTGGGAGTGTCTTGTTGTATATGACAAATTCTGAATATTTTGTATGTTTGTGAGAGATTGTTTCACATTTATTCTCATTTTCATCACCCTGGATTTTGGTCATGTGTGTTCTATCTCTAATGTATGTGTTTTATAACCCTTATGTTGTTCTAACCAAACTCTTGGTGTTCAAATAAAATCAGAACAACTACTGTTTGGACTTAAAAATTCCTGACAGATAAAACACTACGGTGGCCGAGAGAGTTCGAATGCGCTGCAAATTAATAGTTTAACCATGGTATTTGTACAGCTGTGGTTATACAAATGGTTATGGTTATTGGTTGTGTTGCAAGTATTTGCAGCACGTTTATGTATTTGATTGTGATCTGTGATGTGCACCACAACTGATGAAGGTGTTTTCTTAATTTGCTTTTTGTATTTGCATGGGTTTTCTTTAAAATGCAAAGTAACTTGTAAGACTAGTCTAAGCAGTTCATGAAAACCGGCTCTGATTGCTTGTTAATATCTGATAACTGCTCCTGCTCAGAAAAAGTACGGTATTCACTTGAACACTGTACATTAAAAGCATATCTGAACAAGACACCTGAAAGTCAGTGACAGTTGATACTATTAATCTCCAACCAGTGCCATGAATAGGTGACACAAATATAGTATTTTAAGTTCTCTTTCTGGGTTTATGTAACCAACTTTGGGTTTTCTGGATGCATTCAAGTCTTTTGCAGATCTAAATTACAAATAGTAAGTTCAAAGTCAAGTTTTTGAGATATGTCCTTTAAGATTACAAAATCCCAAAACGACCATCTATTGGATCGCCACATCTTGTAAAAGAATCAGGCTATAAGTGATGGGATATCATTGAGAGGGATACCACCGTGGCATTTCATTACATGGCCAAACATTACTCTTAGCCCAAATAGCAGAATTTAATTTCATCATGGCTCATTAATTGGTTTATATGATTTATTTGCTTTGGGTTTCATTTAGCTCTTTGGAAATTGTCTCAGAGCACCTTTAGAGTGTGCCAGGTGAAAATCCCCCATGAGCCAACACACAACAACACTGACATGGAAATACTCCCTATCTGGGAATAAGTATGAAGTTGTCACGGTTGCCTTCCATGGCGAAACGAAGCACGAGGGATCAACTCAAAGTAAATGTCTTTAATCATCCAAAACGGGGTAAAACAAGGCAGGCAGGGACACACAGGTAACACAACATCGACGTTCAATACCGGACAAACTCAGCTAACACAGACAGGAACTTAAGTACATGGGGTAATTGACAAGACACACCTGGGAGCAATCAACAATCAAACACACGGGAAAACCAAATGAACATAAAGAACTATAAAGAACTAATGAGGACAGGAACATAACCAAATAAGGGCATACAGAAACAGGAGGCAGGAACAGAGGGAAAACAAAACAAAGTCCATAAACGTGACAGAAGCACTGGAAGGAACAAATAAGAGCAGATAAATTAAAGCACTAAATGTATAAAGTCACTTCCTAACGGTCTAACTGAATTATTAACTAAAAAATATTTTTTTTCTTCTGGTATATTTTAAGCAAATATAGTTTAAACTTATGTTTAAACTCACTATTTCTCTCATTAACCACTGACCTTCCCAATGCTAGAACAGCTGATCAGTTTTTTGTCATGTGAAAAACATTTTATGCAATGCAATAAAGGTTTTATTGATCTTATGGAAATGTCATGAAAATTCAAAGTTAACAAGCACTGTGACCGTGTGTTTTTTTTTTTCATATTTACAATGCTATCAAACTTTGAATAAAGGGAATCATAAATGTCTTCAAACATGTACATGTGCGGTGTTGCAAAACCACCAACTCATAGCAAGACTCACGAGCCATGTGGTTTTACTTGAATTTCATGTCCGTCTGTATTATAGATGCCATCAGTGGTGACATCAGTGGTTGAACCTAATTTTATGAAGCTACGTCAAAAATATCCAGATTTGTTTTCCGAAGATGAACAAAGGTCTAACGGGGTTGGAATGACATTAGGGTGAGTAATTAATGACAAAATTCTCATTTTTGGGCGAACTGAACCTTTAATTTTTAAAAACTGAATTAAGAATGATCTTTTCTTCACCCATTCACTGTTTGCTACAATTGTTTTGTTACATGCTACATACATTTCTAGATTATGTGCTGATTTCATGCAATCAAAATGTCATTGAATCTGACAATAACAACCTAACAAATTATATCAACAGCAGCCATGCATGTTTATGGATTAGATGAAGTACAAATATGTCCTTGAAATTACAATCGCAGGTTACCACATCTTTCTAGTATATGTTATTGTGTGCCTGCCTAGAGTTTACTGTATCCCTCTCGCCACCCTGTTAAAAATTTCTCGTCAATGTCAAAATGTCTGTGTAGTGTATAATCAAATCAAACAAGGCGGGCATTACCATTAGGTCGAGGAAGCCGAGTATGAATATCAGCATGATGCTTCCATGTTAATGGTCAACAAGTGATGACCAAAGTTACTGTAAGTAAACATTTATTAAACGACCTACAGTAATATCCAGCAATAAAAGCAATTCAACCGTACACCATCGTACCATATTTATCCATAAGGGGGCATATTAAAAACTTAAAGGTACGTGTTAGTTCTGAAATGGTGCAGTTTAGTACCTTTTTCTAAGAGTGTAGAAGGAGGTCGCCGTGATTTTGCCAAGTAAGACATGTTACTGGATCAACATCTTTTGTTGATCCTGGATCAACATAACTGTCCAAAAATATAGACTTAACCCAATCCCTACCCCTAAACCTAACCCTACCCATAATTTATTCCTAAAAACAGTGTGAAATGATAGCTGATTAACAAGGGTGTAGAAGCACCTAACCCTGATTGTAAGCCTAAAACAGATATTTCCTTAAAAGTTATCCCTCAATTCTGATTGGTTGATTGGAATGTTGTTCCAGGATCAACTAGGATGTTGATCCAGGACCATGTTGTACTTGGTGAAATCACGGTCACCGTAGACCGTCAACCTCTTTTATCTAGCAAAATTTTCTCAGGTTTGTCATGTGACCATTTGTTTATAATGTGCTCTAAAGAAACAAAATAATTTATGTGTTATATTTATGTGAAAGGATACTGCCCCACTGACAAGATATTGTACCCCTAAAGGGAGCGAGAGTGTTCCTCAAACAGGTCAGATAAGTATATCAAGGGTGTGTCAGAGTTCAAAAAAGTTACTTGTTCTCATATGTTAAACCTGGTTTTTAGTTTCATGTGTAACTGGTTTTGTTTCCTCTATTCTTTTAAGGCATGTTTTTTCTCTCTATTGTTTCCAAACTTTTTCTTCCCATTGTTGATATTTGAGCAGAGGTTGGTTTCACTGTCATAAGCAAGGTTCATTTCTGAGTCAATTCACACATTTTTATTTTATTTTGTTGACTACATCTAATGAGTTCCAGATCTCAAACGAGTATTCATGAGTTTCACATTTTACATGCTCAAATACACCACAGTAAACAGGAGTTCTAATAATTCTGTCCTTGTGAGTCCTTTAAAAGGTTTCAGGCTTATTATAATGTTCTCATCAATCTGGCTTTGGCAGTATAATTGTTTGTTTTTTTGCGTTTTGAGTTTAATTTGCTGTGCTCACCCAACGCAGAGCCCCACCCTAATGTGTCTATTTGACTCAGAAATGTCCCTCTCACCGTGACAACACACTCCTCCTTCCTTGATCTAAATGTCTCTTGCTTTATTCCTCTCGCTTATGCTTCAGTCTTTAACTTCACATCAATGTGGACACAAGTATTCCAGGAATAATGGTGCTCCGTCAGAGTTTTCTCATCATTCTTGCATTCTTTGGGCTGGTATTGTGTGGGTATGTAATTACTCTTCAGCAATATTAGATATTAGATTAGGTGTTTGGTTTGTGAATTGATGTGACAATAATGCAGTAACAATGAAAACTCTTAATTGTGTAGAAGCAGCTGAGTCATTTTTCAGAAGCTGGTAACATTACCACTGCTTGACATGGGGCCAGGATAAAGTATTTAGCATTTTTATGTGTATATTGTTTTTATTTCATAGAGAACAAATGAATACGGGCATACATCACAGAAATGCAAACATGATGCCCTTAAAAATGCAACTCCAAAATGTCAGTTCAAAATGAGCAACACAATCATTATTATTATTAAACATATTCTTAAATTATGTGATCTTAACATTTTTATATATATATATATATATATATATGGAATTTTTAAATACTGAATTATCGGTTTAAATATTTACACCTAGGTTAAAAGGAGAGTTTAAAGTATAATTGTTAATAATCTAGTAACCTTTTTCTTAGCTTTTGTCATGTGACTATTTGTTTAGAATGTGTCCTAAATAAGCTCAATAATTTATGTGTCCTAAAATTGACATTGCTGGTAGATGTGTTGGAGCAGATTTAAGCTACAAACGCCATTGAAAATACTGGTTTAACTGGTCCCATTTAACTTTGTACAGAGTATAGCTTCAGATGAATGAATGCACCTAACCGGCTGTCTTGAAACACAGTAATGGGTGGAAATACAGTCAGTGATGCGTTAACTGAATAATCCTGACACCCACTGCAAATGCAACAAACAGACTCTAAGAAAGTCATGATGTTTGAGTATTAACTGACATAACATTAGCACATAAAAATCTCCAATTTATGCCATATATTCTAAATGACACATTTAGCTATCCGGATGGATATGATCTGTTTTACGCACTTCCTGACAGTGATTTTTCGAATGCAAATCGAAGGTTAAGGCTCCGACATTATTATTGAATTTCATAAGTTCCGCGTTTGTTCGCGGGAAAGTGAGCAAGACACGACAGTTATATCATGATTATGGTTAAATAAGATGAAAGACATATATAAAGAAATTAGCTACATTTATTTTTAAATTAAATATCACAACACTCATTTATCATTCAGTAGTGCGTTTTAAATATAATGTAAGCGCAACTTGTGTAGATTTAAAAAGGCATGACTGCTTCATTTTGACGTGTATTTGTATACTTTTACCATCTAATCAATCTCAGCATGCTTTAATTTTGTGTCCCTAGACGTTTGCATCACTAAGGTTAAGTCCCATTAGGCAAAGGTAGGCGACTGCCTTGGGCCCCCAAAAGTCAAGGGCCCCCTAAAATGCTTTTCATATAGGATATGCGCATTAAGCACGGACACGCGAACGTTTGCTGTTTACGGTGTTTATTACCATGACAACCAAGGCGGTCGCCTACCTTTGCCTAATGGGTAAGTCCGCCCCTGGCATTAACAGATCATTTAAACTGATAAATAACAGATTGGAGATTAAAATAATAGCAGATTTGTCTCATTTTAAATGAGTAATAAAAACTGAGATGAAAAATTTACTTAAGCCAGAAATATAATTTTACTATGGTAAAATAAATGTTCAGCGAAATCTTCAAAAAACTTTTGAATTTTGGCGCACTTTTTTTCTCTATATAATGTTGATATAATAACTAGTAAATGCTGTAAATCTGGTTATGCTAGCATGTGTGGAAATATTTAAACCACGTGTGTTACAACTTACCCCGCGTTACTTTGTGCCCAGCGCTCCCCCTATTAAAACTAAAGAGAAATGTGTTCACAAAATAAAAACTAAACTAAAACTAACAAAAGTATTAATGAAACTAATAAAAACGAAACTACATTTTATTGCAAATTTGAAAACGTTATTAAAATAAAACGAATTTAAAAATGCAAAACTATAATAATCGTGGTTGGACTCGATATAGCCTAGTGTTCCTTACAACTTATCAAAGATCCAGTGGCTATTGGATATTGATATGCAGCCAGGAATTGTGTTTCCTGACATTTATATGTGCCTGATTTCGACACCGGGGAAATACTTAAAGCAAATTTGCCTGTGAACGCATTCTGTAAATACGAAATAGGTTGTTCTAAATCCGGGTGATCACTTATATTACTGTATACTGTCATATCGCCCATCTCAAAAACGTAGGTTTTGTCAGTGTTTATTTAAAAACATCCAGTTAATACAACATATAACAACAGGGTATGGTTTTTCTAAATTCAACATATTAACATAAAATGATAACTGCAAATAGGGCTGGGCGATATATCGAATATTAGCGATAATATCGCAATAATTTTGACGACGATGTAAAAATAAAAAATATTGTGAATATCGAATATTTCAAATTCAATCATACTTTCCCAAAAGAACGTGCCGAACGTCCAAAAAGGGAGACGGTTATTGCGGACAGCTCTACTAGTGATGTCCGGTTCGCGAACGAATCGTTAGATTTTTAACCGGTTCTTCTTAGTGAACCTGTTGATCCAGTTCACCAAATCGGACTGAATCGTTTGAAACGGTTCGCGTCTCCAATAAGCATTAATCCACAAATTACTTAAAGGGATACTTCACCCAAAAATGAAAATGTAATGTTTATCTGCTTACCCCCAGGGCATCCAAGATGTAGGTGACTTTGTTTCATCAGTAGAACACATATGATGATTTTTAACTCCAACCGTTGCAGTCTATCAGTCGTATAATGCATGGCAATGGTAACAAAATCTATGAGAGTAAAAAAAACATGCACAGACAAATCCAAATTAAACCCTGCGGCTCGTGACGACACACTGATGTCCTAAAACACGAAACGATCGGTTTGTGCCAGAAACCGAACAGTATTTATTTCATTTTTTACTTCTAATACATATGTCCAACTGTCTTTAAGCGCGTGCAGGCATCCGGTGCGTGAGGTGTGTACAAATTTAACAAAATTTTAACAAAATGGTACAAATTTAACCATTTTTAGTTTTTCTACAGTTTTTCTCTCCCTGAAGGAGGTCAAATGAATTTCTGTGAATACTGCATATTCAAGGAATAACTTACCTAACGCCACACTGGATGTATTATATAATAAAGTTTTTCGCTGAATGCTATTGGCTGCCTTATAGTTTTTTAACACTATTTTAAACTTCTTTCTTAGGTTATATTCCGTATTTGCTTGCATTCATTAATATTCACTTGTTGTGTATGTGGATATCATAAAATAACATTAGTATGTGAGTAATTAACACTTAAAAAATCTAAACTTATCAAAATCAAGTGTTTGATAACGTCTAAATATATATTCAAATGCAAAAGCTAAAATAAATAAATAAGCAATTATGACCAGCAATACTCTTTTCAGCAACTAAACTAGAACTGTATGCATTTATTAAACAGCCATCAAACAGGCATCTAGTGGTTAACCATAGCATTACATATTAATTTTATTTTACCGGTCACCAAATGCCTCTAAATTGGCTCTTTGCATTGGAATTTAAAAACGTTTCTCTGTTTTAGCCTTAAATACTACACTAATTGTAGCCTAATAAAATTAATACATATATTAGAAAATACTCTGTATATTTTAAATGGTCATTCATGGATCATAATTATTGCACATATTATTTAGTACCAAAAATGTCCTCAAGTTTTGACTAAATGTTGCTAAACTAAAAGATAGCACATTTATGTAATTGATAAAAACTTCGGTCACATTAGACTGCCAAGTATGAGAACATATTAATTCTGTCACTTTATCACTTCCCAGAATAAAATCATACTGTAATTAATGCTACTGTTAATGCACAATCAATGTACATTATGTGTCAATATTTACCAGAAATTGCTGCAAATATTGTGAAACTCCTGTCTGTGTGGCCATTGGTCCTATTAACAGAACGAAAATCAAAACTTTGATTCAAATTCTGAATGGATTATCTGTAGCTTAGAAAGCGGGAAAATACAGCGCTTCCATATAATCACCGGCAATTAGAGGTGAGTGAATTTGGACTAACTTGAACGGAATGGCCAATCAGAGGAGTTCAAGAAACCAACAGACATGTCTGTGATTGACTACAGGTGCATGTCAATAAATTAGAATGTCGTGGAAAAGTTTTTTTATTTATTTCAGTAATTCAACTAACTTTTCCACGACATTCTAATTTATTGAGATGCACCTGTATACTGCTTAATGCTACAAAAACATGTTGTAAATAGAAAGTTTGACGCCTTCCAAAGCACAAACACAAACTGGAGCCTTTACCAAATATGTTTCGCCAAATATCCTATAACTGAGGGTGCTTTTGACTACGTGAGAAAATGGACGTGTGGCATGAGAGTGTGAGAACAGTGTCAGACACGCGAGTCTCACGCTGAATGTATGAGAGTTGGCAGCACTGCAGGCACTCTGCCCGGCCTCATCAACTTACATTTACATTTAGTCATTTAGCAGATGCTTTTATCCATAGCGACTTACAAATGAGGACAATGGAAGCACCTATTATAATCTTAATATAACTTGCAGCTATTATAATCTTAACAGAATCAAGTAACAATATTCAATGTTAATTAAGTGATCTCTTAAAGGATTATTATTATTATTAAGTTTAGTGTCCAACACAATGTGCATCAGGTCTTGATAGGCTGGATATCAGGAACCTCACTTATTTGTGTGGCAGGTTGTGAAGCAAGCATTTCAAAGCTAAAATACAGAGCTACATATTCTAATGTTAATGTTTCATGATCATTAATGTTTATTAATTATTAACATTATTTATATGATTTATTTGTTCAAAGTGACTATAAACTGTAAATTAGTTTTTCATTGGATGTAGAGAGAGACACATTCAGCGTGAGACTCACATAATTGACAATGTTCTCACGTTCTTATGCCACACGTCCATTTTCTCACGCAGTCAAAAGCACCTTCAGTTAAAATATATTTTATATATATATATTAACATTGTCATAACCATTACCATGCTAAAATCTTCAGAGAGTTGTCATGATTGAAATATATATCGAAATATATTTTTAATATATATATATTTTTTTTTCACTAATATATTGAAAGTGTTACCATATATAGATAGATAGATAGATAGATAGTGTTACTGTGGACAGGAAAAAGTTAGTCAATCACAGCACTGAGCGTTTTGAAATTAAATGTGCTTCACAGAGTGAGAAAATTAGATGGAAATTATAATTTTTTACATATATTGGCCTTTTTTTGGTGCAAAATGAGAAACATAATATACAGATCTAAAACTGCATTTGTATGGCCCCTTTTAAAACTGCGTACATTTTAATTTTATTGTCAAGATGTACAAGATGTGTAATCACGCAATTCATTATGCTGCATTTTCTGTGTACATGACAAACATGAGAAATAAAACTTAAATGTGATCTCTGAGAAAACCAAACAGTCACACATCTTTACAAAGATCGCTCCTCATGAAGTTATATGTCTTTCTTCACAGGCTCATTTACCTGAACACCAACCAGAACAGGTGAGTTTAGTGCAGTTACACAACATCTGAACCGTGTTTGTCTTGGTGTTATTCTCTTGATTTGGGAAGTTTGCATTGCTGACATTTATTCATTTGTTTTTTACTGTTTTAAGTTGCAAACCGCAGATAATAGAAAAAGTCATCACCAAGTAAGTAATGTAATGCATATACATAAACACCTCACTTTAACACATGCACAAAAAATGCTCATGTAACAAGGTACAATTTTTGCATTATTTCTGAGAGCGTACATACTGTACATGCTTATACACATCAACTTAAAACACACACACTCACACCATATGATTACATTCAGATGAGTAAGAGTTTGACTCTGTTATTATCAGGGCAAAGGGGAAGCTTAAGAACTTTGGATTGCGCTCATCGCTGGGGTATGTAAAACTTCATCTTCTTAAAAGAGACTTTTTAAAGTTGATCCTTAATGACATAAGACAAAAACATTCTTGGTTCATGGTTATTTTTATTGTTCTGATCAGATGACTAGTGAGAGATGGAAATAGATAAACTGGGAAACCCATGTTTAAAATTTGTATTAACTCTGTATGTACCAATAAAATGACTGTTGTTCTTTCTGCTTATTCATGTGTATTGCAGGCTTTTGTACAACCAGCCCAGTGCGCTGGTAAGGTGAGTATTATGTTTTTAGCATCAACCTGTAATAGCCCATTTATACTCATGAATAGAATGATTACAACGCTGTTTGTGTTTTGATGAAGTCGGACAGATGTTGCTTCTGTAACATCATGGTTAGCCCCAATCATTTGGGAGGGAACCTTTGACGCCACACTGATCGACTTTATCTACAAACAACAGAATCTCACCATAGCGACCACAGTCTTCGCTTTGGGAAAGTGAGTTCCGCATGATACCGCTCATCTTGTATCAGTATTTCTCATTTGTTTCTCCTCCTCTGTTTTTCTTTGCTTCTGGAAACAGTAATGATTAAATGATAAATAAATTTATTATATCTCCCTGTGTATTTGTTTTCTCTGTTTGTTAGATACACACGTTTTCTCAAAGAGTTTCTGGAGTCAGCAGAGCAGCATTACTTTGTTGGATTTCGAGTGAATTACTACTTGTTTACGGATCTACCAGAAGAAGTTCCTGAAGTTAAGATGGGTGAAAACCATAGTTTGACAGTTCGAAAGGTTCCAAGTATGAACAGATGGCAGGATATCAGTATGGGCAGGATGGAAATACTGGAGAAACTAATAGAGAATGAACTGGCCAGTGAGGCCGACTATATTTTCTGCCTTGACGTAGATACAAAGTTCTATAGCCGCTGGGGTGTGGAGTCTTTGGGTCGTCTGGTAGGTGTGATACATCCTTGGTTCTTTGATGCTCCAAGGGATCAGTTCACATATGAGCGTAGACCAGAGTCTCAAGCATACATTCCAGCTGGAGAGGGTGATTATTATTTTACTGGTGCTGCATTTGGTGGCTCACTGGAGGATGTACATCATCTCACCAAAACCTGCTGGGCGGAGATGAAAATTGATATTGCAAACTCCATTGAGGCGATATGGCACGAGGAGTCTCACTTGAACAAGTATTTCCTTTATAACAAACCCAGTAAACTGCTTTCACCTGAATATCTGTGGCGGGACATCAATGCCGGGGCGGTCCAAATAAAAGTAGTTCGCTTCTCTCATGTAGCTAAAAACAATGCAGAAGTGCGTCCAAATGTGTAGCACCTGTTGCCAGTATTGAGCTACACTGACATGGTGTGTTCTCGCAGGCCTCCCACACTGTGAATATGTAAACAGGTAATATTGACAAAATAGAAGTCTACAGCTGCCACCAACAAATGGATAATCAGAGACATTTACAGATATTTATGAGCACAAAGTGGCATCAGGAACTAAATCTGCCAAAGTGATCTTGAAGAAACACTCACAATATGCTATAAATACTCTTGAGTTTATTATACAACAAAACACCATTTAAATGTGTATTGAAAGCACTGACAACCCTTTGTTTGACCTCTTATTTAAAGGGAGGAAGTTTAGTAGATACAGGGTCTGAAGTAAAAACCAATGGTGAACTTTAATTGGTATTTTCTAGCTACTACATAAATATGATTTTACTTTTTGGCGTAATCTCATTAATATTCATAGTAATTTGCACACATGGTTGCACCTGCCTTTTTGTATGTTTGGGTATACACTGAAACAATGTATGACCTATAAAACGATTCATAGGGATTTGTACATCTCTAAAGCTATGGTAATAATTCATTCAAATATACAAGGTCTATGCAAATGTACAAAAATGTATTTGTTCTTAAACCACATTTTGTGTATAATACGAATGGGGTCAAATTGCAAGTTGATGGGTTTTTAGATATTACTGTCAAATTCTGAATGTATGTATACTGTTTTTTGTTAGTTTTTTATTTTGCTGGTTTTTTTCCATTTGCATTTTTTTTTATTTCTACCACTCTGTACTCAGCAAAATTAAACAAAAAAAAACTAAACAGAACAAATAACATTTGGGAAAACTAGTATGAGCATTGATTGTATGCTATTGAATACTAAGAAATTATACTTTCACTGATGCAAACACTCATACATTTTTCTCTTTGTATATTTCACTTATTCCTGTTTTCTTGTGTTGCTTCTTGTAGAGAAAAACGTTTTTGAAGACAAAAAAAGTTTTGGAAGAAGGGAAAACTTTATTTTTTTTTGAAGAGGAAAAAAATAGTCTAATAGAAAAGAAATCTTAGGACATAGGCTCATATCAAATGTATAAACTAACAGCAAATGTCACACAAAAACATTTTTCAAAGGGTCCATAAAATGGGAAATAACATAATATTTTCATTGTAGGCCTATTATACTTCCCAGTCCAAAAAGAGCACGCACTTACTACCACTGCAAAAACATCTCGTTATAAAATCATCCCTGTCTTGAACTCACGACGTTGTACTCATTTGCATGGTTCCGCACATGTCTTCGCACACCGTGCTCAGACAGATCGCTTGAGGTAGCCACTGAAAGTTGCAGGTGGCTGCCACATGGTTGTACAAACACGAAAAGATTAAGATAACGCGTAAGTTCCTCACACTTTGTTGTAGGAAAAACAGCATCTCCTCACGGTTATCGACAGATCCCAACGTTAGGAATACGTGGCTAAAACTGATTTTTAACGATGTGCTGTGATCAATGATTGTTATATGCAAGGATGCATGTAGGCTACACCCGTTCTTTGTCACAAATGCGTTTGTTGCCGTTTTTGCATTAGGACAGTGACTAAACGGTGAACTTTACATTGTTCCTTGTAAGAGCACGAAATACACTTTTATTCAAAGTATAATTACTTAACTCCCCCCACACAAAATACGACTTAAAACGTACCGAAATGGAATTAAAACTAGAACCCTGCTCGTTCAAAAAATTATGTTTAATTATGACTTATATGGGATTGTTTTTTTGTTTTTTTTAGCAACAGAGAGATCTAGTCATGAGTGGCTGTGGGGGAAGTTATCTAAAATTATTGTAAAATTAACAGTCTTTATCTATCAACTGCTACTAGTTATAAATTAATTTCATGAATACTCTTTTGCTGATCTTCACAGTTTACTGAGAAGTTTAGATTTTCATTGATGTTGACATGTTTGTGGTTGAACATGAGTATGGGCTTGTCAAACAAGGTGTTAACACAGAACCAGTTCTGCATTGTGTAGCACCTGCTTTATACTCAATGTGGAATTTCCTTCTAAAAGCCAGTTAGACTACTCTTGTGTGCTGAAGGATGAGGATCAGTCATTGGCTGTTGGGCTGTTTTTATGGTTGTACCTTAATGTAAGGCCCCACCCTTGTCAGGATGTGTTTGACTTTCAAATCTCTTCCGCAAATCTCTTCATGCCCAATATTTCACTCTCTTTTTCCAGTTCAGTCCACCAAGTGAGTACGGTCACAAGACCAAGCTGATATTACAATAATGCGATTCCGTCAGATTTTTCATTTCTTCCTTCTTGGAATGTTTGTTGGCTTGTCACTGAGTGGGTATGTATAAACTTTTTAAAAATATGTAGCTGATTTACTTACACGTTTGGAATTGGAATGTTAAGTGAATATCGGTTGTTAATCTGTTTATGTATTGATATAAATGCTGCCAATGTCGCTTTATGTAATCAGCTAATCACATGGCAGCAACTCAATGTATGTAGGCATATAAACAGGGTTGGGAAGGTTACAGAATGTAACACATTTTAAATTAATTACTTAAATAGGTTAATTAAGTCAGGAGTGTCCAATCCTGCTCACTGTTCTGTAGAGTTTAGCTCCAAGTCCACCACGATTAAACATGCTGGAACCAGCTAATCCATTTTCTTGGCATACTACAAACTTACAGGCAGGTGTGTTGAGGCAGGTTGGAGCTAAACTCTGAAAGACAGTGGCCATTCAGGACTGAGAACACCTGATCTAATTATTTAGAATCCTTAAGGCAGGGGTTCATTTACAGTCATGCTGATTTTCAGGAAACAGCACTCTTCTTCCTTTTCTGATGTTGCCATTTGTTATAAATATATATATTAAAAAAACAAAACCAAGAGCTTATATACACAAATGTCACTGGCTCTGTGTGAAAAAATGTTCTCACGTGAGAGCACGTAAATTCCATGAGAGATCAACTTACCTCAAGAGGCTTTTTCACATTACATGTCGAATCCTTTGAAGCTGATACAAGTTAGATATAAAACTGTCTTTGTATTTCCATGGCAAAAATCACGCGCATGGCTTTCTGATTCCCCCTGCAGTTTTGTTAGTCCTGACTAGCTTGTGCACTCAGAAGGTTGCTAATTGAACAGGCTGCCCATATTTTTATTTATTTATTTTCAGAGTTGAGTTGGAGACTCACCAAATGCCTCATTGGTTAAAAATTCCCAAACAGTTTACATGAATATTAAATGAAATAAATGACATTAAAATGCAGAGTAATCATTTAGGTAATCTTAAATACGTTTCGGATGTACTGTATACTTTATTTGATGACCACCCATTTAAAATGCAGTTACTCATATTTCTTATTTTAAATGTGTAAGGACATTACGTGTATTCCATTACTCCATGTATCCTGGATGCATACAAATAACATGACACGTCTTACACAGTCTTGTGTAAACCAAACACAACAAACATGCTCTATATGCTCTCTAAGCCAGGTATTAAAAGCCAAGTGGTTACGTAAAAGATGTAAGCTTTAATGGTGCTTATTGGTGAGACCCTTTTTCTATCAGTTTAAAATGGCAGGCGAGCAGCAAGTTTTTAAAGCTTTAATGGGTTTCCTGGAGGATAATGGATACAAATGTTTTTTTTATTTAATTTTTTCTACTCAAATGTTGGATTGAGCCATTTTCCATGCCCACTGTTGTGTACACACACACACACATACAGAAACAAAAGTGTTGCGTTTATAATTTTGTTCAGTGTATATGTATATGTGTATATATATATATAGTGCATATTAGTACCTTATTAATAATATGTACGCTAAATTTAGTAATATACTATGTACTCTTATAGTACCTAGTACTCTTTAGGAGTAAAGAAGGTTGTATGACAAGTTGTTGTACCCCTAAAGTACAAATTTAAAACATTTTCTTCTGAGAGTGAATATTCATAGAATGTGGCAAAGATTTTAAAGCTTTAAAGGCACAAATTATGTATATTATATAGCTAAACATACAAAATCTAAAGACATCACATTGGAATGGAATTCCTGTTGAAATGAGCTGTTCTATTAGCTGAACCAGCCTGAAGCATAATTTATGATAATTTTGTGGTCCGATCTTTTGACTGAATACTGAAACGTTACTGAAACCGTTACAAAGAGTTTCTTTTTTTTTTCCATTCAAAAAGTTAAGTTGACCAACTTTTCTGTATGAGGTTGACAAACAGCATTTTCAGCGCCTCATTTGCTGATGAGGAAAAATACCTAAAATTATTTAAAACATATTTTGAACTTAAACACTGAAAAAAGTGTGTGAGTGTTGACACATTTCCAAAAGATCTCTGCTTATAGGATTCTCATGTCTTCTCTTACAGGCTCATTTACTGGGGATTCACCTCCATTTGGTATGGGTAAGTATAGACTATATTCATACACGTTCACGTGAACATGAAACGTTCAGTTTCAGTCAGATTAAAATAATAATTCCTTTTATTAAAATGGCACAATGAAAAGGATTTAGTGGCGTTAAAGACATGAAAGTGTGAGAACCGTGTCAGTTGTGTGAGAGTTGGCAGCCCTGGTTGATCGACATCAACTTACCTCAAGATGCTTTTTCGGATTTAATGTTGAATCCATTGAACATTATAGCCCGTGATAAGTTAGACACGTCAAACCTTGAAGCAGATGGGCTACAGCAGCATAAAACCACACAGGGCAGGGTTGCCAGGTCTGCTAATCAAAATTAACCCATTTGCGTTTTTGTCTGTGGTCTTCCCCTCTGTTGGGGGCCCCTTCCATCAAAATAGCATTCTGGGGAGATAGCTTTAACCCACGGACAAAAAAAAACTACCCGCGTCAACGGTGTATAAGTAGGCTCATTTCACGGTAAAACCAGACTTGCCAACTCTTGACACTGGGTACCACTCCTGTCAGCTAACAACAGGAAATTGACCGTTCGCAGGGAGCTTGATAGACAGGCGATCTGACCAATCAGAATGCGGATATTATGTGCCGCCGCTGCTATCAGCCATCTTGCCCGACAGCTACGGCCGGTCTCCTTAGAAATCCATGTTAAAACGGGATAAAGATAGACTGAATTGAAACTTTTTCAATATAACTAAATATAAAAATGTGTGGAGGGTTAAGCTGTACTGTTGTTGGCTGCCACAGTAACGGTAATAAGCTAAAGGAATGCGCTATATGCATGGCTTGCAGCAAAATACTGAGTGTAAAATAATAAAATAATGGTGTGTTCCGCTCCGCTGTTGAAATAAAATTCTTTCTGATGTTTATTCATGTTCATGAGGCTGCAGTTTATTAAAATGTCACAATTTAAGTCAAGTCAAGTTTATTTGTACAGCGCTTTTCACGATACAAATCATTGCAAAGCAACTTTACAGCAAATTAAGTTTCTACAATATTTAGTGTTAGCTTATCAGTGGTGACTCAGAGAAACACACGGAGTAGAGGTGGTGGGAGAGTTAGCAGCGGGCTGTATACTTACCTCGGACTTGTGAGCGTCAGCCTGGGATGATTCCAGCGCGGCTCTCTGCTCTCTCAGCTGGGTCTGCCTCACCACCAGGTCGCGGATCTGCTTCTCCACGGCCTCCAGCTCGAGCTGCACTGAATGCAGCTTGAACGTGTCCTCACCTGCTCTCAAAGGTAGACACACATCCGCCATTAAAGCATGTAACAGTGAGTAAAACAATGGTAATGTGTGTGAATAGAGTATTAGTAATGTAAGCGAGATTAGCGGCAACCACGCTGGCGATGCTAGCGGGCTATTTGCTAATAGCGGACTCGGGAAATCAAAATAAAACTAGTGATAACAAGGCGCTCTGATTGTTTTTGTTGTAGAATACGATAGGGGATATATTCATGCACACTTTAAAGGCTTAAGTCCAACTGAAATCATACCAGTGCAATTATTGTGTACCACAATTATTAGACAGACAGCAGGGTTGCCAACTTTTAAGTTCAGCTTGGAGTGAGATTTTTTTGGGTGGGGGGGATTTTGATCTCGATTCAATGATTCAATATCAATTCATATGTATATTGTACATATAAGGTGATAAAAATATTTTGTTGAATGCAGTTGAATGACTTTTTCAGCATCATTTTAAACTTTTCTTGTCTTAATTCAGTATTTGCTTGCATCCATTAATATTCACTTGTGTGTATACTTATACGAGTATAAATAAAAATGAAAAAAAAAGGATGTAAGTTATTAATTTCGGATTTTAAAAAAATAGTGTTTAATCACGTCTAAATATTTATTCAAATGCAAAACTTAAAAATAAGTAAGCAGGCATGACCTGCAATACTCTTTTGAGAAATAGATACATGTATATTTATTAAAGAGCCATACAGGTACCTAGTGGGTAAAGCATGGCATTACAAATGAAAATGATTTTTTTCCCGACCACAAAATGACTCCAATTTGCTTTTTTGCATTGGAATTTAAAACAATTTATTCTATTTTAACCTAAATACTACACAAATTGTAATATAAGTAATAGAAATATTAGAAAAATATTTTAAGTGGCCATTAATGGACCATAATTATTGCACAAATAGTATCTAGTACCAAAAGATCTCCTCAAAATATTAAATAAATATAATTGAACTAAAATATAGAACATTTGTTTAACTAAAACATAGTTAAAGGGTTAGTTCACCCAAAAATGAAGATTAGGCTGCGTTTTACTCACCCCCGAGGCATCCTAGGTGTATATGACTTTCTTCTTTCAGACGAATCCAGTCGGAGTTATATAAAAAATTGTCTTTGACTTTTCAAGCTGTTTCATGCCACTCAGCGGGTGTTGCATGCATCAGTCAAAAAGAACTTAAATAAAAATCGCCCATCCATAAAAAAGTGTCTCACACGGCTCCGGGGGGTGAACAAAGGCCTCCTGTAACGAATCGATGCGTTTTTGTAAGAAAAATATCCATATTAAAAAAACGTAATAATCACTTTAATGTATCTTGCGCCAACAGTTGTACACGGAAGCAGCTCCGGGAGGATGACGTATGAGGTCAGCGTTGCGCATGCGCTGGTGAGTCTCGTGAAAACCAATGTTTGTTAACAGGAGCAAAGGAAGCAAAGTTTCCTTACTTTAGCAAAGGAAAACCAGTCTCTTCTTGGCTTATATTGAAATCCTCCGACATTCTTCTTTGCAAATCCTCATTTTGTACTTCTAATTCTTGACCATTGTTTTGTTTTGATCTCTCCCCTGCTTTTCCGCGTGCGTCACCTGCGTCATCATACGTCACTCCCCCGGAACTGCTTCGGTTTACAACAGTGAGCGCAAGCCGTGTGAGACACTTTTTTTTTTTTATCAATGCATGATAATATGCTGTAATGTTTACCAAAAGTTGCTGCAAAGACCTGTGTAGTGAAGCTGTTGTCGTCTATCCTGCTTAAACCCAAATAAATATATTGACAGCGCTGGTTTGTTTAGAACTATTGAACGCCGGCGAGATCAAAAACTCTGTTTTTCAATGGCTCTGGCTTTAACTGAGGCGCTACAACGAATTGCGCCACATTAAGTGCGCCAAAACTGTATTTATTGTCTGAATTTCGTATTAAAACTTACAAAATTTGAAAGCTGAGACTTTGTTTCATATAACAAGCAGGGTTGCCAATTTGGCGTGAGATTTACATGGGCAGCGTCAGCATAAGGAGCGTGAGACAGAGCCTGAAAGAGTCCCAGCAAGCAATTTTGCGTTTAAAAGACGTCTATATATAGCCTAGACGCCTAGGCTAAAACGAGGCTAAATTTGGGCTGTCAGTGAAAATCTAATAGACGTCTAATCATAGCCCAAGAATAGACTAGTCATCAATTAAACCGCTATTAAACGACTACATATATACGTCTAATAGACAACAAAATGGCAATCCATACATACAACTTTTCAAGGTTATTTGGGCTAGAAGTGGGTTACACATAGCCGGACTATATCGGGTCTATACTTAACCGAGACGTTGAAATGACGGCTATTGCTTGCTGGGGTGTGTCTCACGCAGTTGGCAACCCTACAGACAGGCGAAAAACACAATTGTAGCTCAGCCTCGCCCAGCATTTATACAAACTGTGCGTATGCTCTGATATACTGGTGATGCGTGACATGTAATCCTTCCAAATTTCATTATTAAGCATAACATCTGACATATGGATGGAGACTGTTGTTTGACTATGCTAAACCCTGCTGTTGTAGTTCGATTACAGCGAAACATGTAAACGTTCTGTGAGGAGGTCTGTTGAGTTATGTAATAACCATTCATAATTGTGTTTTGGTTTGCAGAAATCATCTAACAGGTAACCTGGGGTAAGTACTTGTATAATGCATACACACATACATTTATTCTCTTTAACGTACACATAAGCTCATGCACACACATATAAGGTGCTTTTAAAACAGAATTCACTGTTGTATACCCTGACATACGGTAATTGAAGAATGCAGTTTGTTGAAAATATATGCTGCTTATGGAAATTATTCACAGTGTACACATGCTTACATAGAAACCCCAATGTTTAATTGCAATCAGTGAATGATTATTACGTGTGTGTGTGTGTGTGTTTACTATAGTCGGACAGATGTTGCTTCTGTGACACCATGGTTAGCCCCGATTGTATGGGAGGGAACCTTTGACTCCACAGTGATTGACTCGATCTACAAACAACAAAACATCACCATAGCGACCACTGTCTTCGCTTTGGGAAAGTAACAAAGTTACATACTTCTCAGACTCTCAAAATACATACTTTTCTCTCTGTATTATTTTTCTCTTTTTATTTTTATTAACTTTTATGTTAATATAGTGTTCTTGGAAGATTTTGTAAAGTCCTTAGATTTTGTCAATGTATAACTAGCAACAAAATTACTAAGGCAAGGTGTTTACTGTACATGCAAGCTACTTTACTAATAAAATGGTCTTTTGTTTATATTTTGTGTATACCACTGATTTAAGATATAGATAAATATATATAGATATAAAAAGTTTTTATATGTTATGTATATGTTTGTTACTGTTATTTTGATACTGCCCTTGCTTAATAAAGGTATTTATTTATTAAAAAAAATAATAATTATAT